CTATAGTTTCCCTTTAAGATTTGTTTAAAATCATAAATATAAATAATCTGGATAATTTACCTTTTTTTATTTAATCACACCTGCAGTAGTGACAGAAAAAAATTTAATTTCTTCATCTACTATCTAATATATTGTGAGATAATGAATGCCATACAATCTTTCTTAAACGTCTCCCACATATACGGCCAAGAAAGCAGGAATTGCTATAATGTTTTTGTGGTTTTCCTTTTGATTTATCCGCTTATCAATGTTGTTGCCTCTTGAATATCTCTAATAAACCTTTGGTTTGCTTATTGCACCCATAAGCATTTCTGCAAGATTGAAGCAGACTGTCTATGTTAAAACTACTGTAAGATGTTCAGCCTCATTGAATGTGGAGACATTTCTGATCAATACAAATGCTATGTCCTAGATGGATTTACTTAAATTTCATATAATAAAATATTGCATACATTTTGTTCCATTCCAGTTAGTAGAAACTAAAACCATGATATATGATACTTATTTTTATTTGGAAAATGTCTCTTGTATAAACTGAAAAAAAAGCTGGCAATCAATAAACACTGCATGACTGTCTGAATTTGTATGATAATATTTTCACATATTCCTCTATGTTTAAGGTCTTACGAGCAGCTCTTGTCTCAACCGGCGTTCATTTTTGTTCATATAAGCGTACAGAATATATTGACAAATCATAAATAATTTATAATAGTAAGAATAACACAGGGAAATGTGTACATATTTAAATAATCCGACACTCATCATTATCCAAGCTCTGGCTTCTCACAAGGGTTCAAAACTCTGATTTCTAGTAATCTAGAATTGTTTTTGGCACAGGGTTTAGATTTTTCATGATGCCGTTGTTTCAGTAGATATACAGTCACACTAGTTGTGTGTGCAAGCACTGAATTAATGCAAATGTAAAACTTGCTTGTTTTGGGGCTACTGCATTATAAGTTCTATAATAATGATTAATATATTGTACATTTCAGTAAAGTTCAGTTTTTAAAAAACAGAAATGCAGTAACTGGATACAATGTAGCAAAATGCATCATAAAGTAAATATAGAAACTGGTGGCCATAGCAGCTATTTAACAACTTAAGGACCAGATTCCAATGTCTAAAGATCCTATAATTACATGTTTTGCATTTGCAGTTCTATGCAATACTGTATTTGTAAAATTAGCTGAACATTCCAATTTGGTATAGGATCCTCAAAGGTTGGTTTGTAAAGGCACAAAATAGCATAATTGTGTGACATTTTCACTTCAGCATAAAGCTAACTAAAACTTATATTTGAGCTGTGCACTATTTATCTAAAATATAACATTGTTTTCTTCCCTCTATATACATTGTAATTCTGACCATCTGGACCTGGGCATACTATGTAAATTTAATTAACTCATGCAGTGCCTTATGAGCAACTATAAAACAACCTCGTTGCCATTCCTTCAAAAGAGTTGTCCAAACATATGCACTCATATGACATTTTTATGTGGATTCTGAGTGTACAGGAGCACTCCCAGACTACCACGGAACTATAACCTTTTCATGTCCACAGAAGTACTGAGAGTTAAGTATTGTTTTTTACTTTCCACTACAAATTCTTCAATGTCATTATAAAGGTGAAGGACTGAGTAATTGTTACTTCATGAGAAAGTCACACTTTTTCTTTAGCTTTCTGAATCAGCCACAATATTAAAACCACTTGCTTAATAATGTGTAGGTCCCCCTCATGCTGTCAAAACAGCTCTGATTCGTCGAGTCATGAAATCCACAAGACCCCAGAATATGTTATGTGGTATCTGGCACCAAGACATTAGCAGTAGCCCTGCAAGTTGCGAGCTGAGGTCTCCATGGATATTTCCAGTACATCCCACAGATACACAATCAGATTGAGAACTGGGTAATTTGAATGTAAAAGCAACATCTGAACTTGTTGTCATGTTCCTCAAATCATTTCTGAACAATTAGTGTGGCAGAGTATGTCTTCTTTTCAGGTACATCTATGTCCCTGTATTCTCTTCCACAGGTAAATGACACACACGCACCAGGCAGCCCACCTGATCTAAAAGAAAATGTGATTCATCAGACCGGACAGCCTTCTTCCATTGGTCCATGGTCCAGTTCTAATGCTCATGTACCCATTGAAGGTGCTTTCAGCTGTGGACAGGGGTCATCACTTGAGTACTCTGACTGGTCTGTGGCTATCCAGCCCCACACAAAGCAAATTGCAATGCACTGTGTGTTCTGACATCTTTCTATCAAGGCCAGCATTACATTGTTCAGCAATTTGAGTTACAGTAGCAATTTGAGTTACAGTAGCTCTTCTGTGTGATCAGCCAAGACTGGCTAGCCTGACTAGCCTTCACTCTGACTTGCATCATTTAGCTTGCCTTGGGCATTCATGAACAGACACCAGTTTACCACTTGCCTTTCTTGCATCACTTTTGGTAAGAACTAATCACTGCATACCGAGAACACCCCACAAGACTTCATGTTTTGGAAATGCTCTGACCCAATTGTCTAGTTATCAGTATTTGTCACTCAAATCTTTTTCGCTTTCCCATTTTTCCTACTTCCAACACATAAATCGAGAACTGACTGTTCACTTGCTGCCTAATGTATCCCTTGACAGGTGCCATTTTAATGTTATAGTCAATGTTATTCACTTTACTTGTCAGAGGTTTTAATGTTGTGGCTGACCAATGCATAGTCTCTTATATTCCTGTATTTCAACCATCTATATGTTGACAGTACTCAGATTATCCTCCTGATCTCTCTCCTAATTGCCTCTCTTCTATCCCTAAACTAGATCTTTTTCAGTTTTAAAATTATCAATCCTTCTAAATTTGAATGTCTCATAATTTCCCTTTAAATATTCCACCTCCATTAACCTCCCTGCAATTTTACGGAACATCCCCCATGCAATCTCCTCAAACTCGTTGCCTTGGAGGTGGCTCCAGACTTGAGGCAATTAAAATTGACACCACAAGTACCATACTTAATACAGCTCCTTGTAATTACTAATAAGCAAGAAACGTATGGGTAAACTCACTTACAATTCACCAGCGCCTACATTTTACAAAAAGTGCAAGATCGAGACCCTGTAAAAATCTGACCAGAGCACCTACTTTGCAAAGTCTTCTAATGGAGTGAAATTGGGAAGTCTGTGATTGGCCAACCACAGAAAGTCTGGGCTGGGAAAGAAGGGGAGGGTTTGCGAAGGCTTTTTTAATTATTCAGGATCCCTTTTTTTTAATCCCCACTTCTTATTTATTCATATGTTTACTTTTCTTTTTATAAATTAGTTTATTTCTTCTCAGTAAACTTTTTAACTAACCCCAATACTTATGTTAAGGTGGTGTTGTTTCACATTAATAAAGAGAGAAGAGATTTAGAGGATATCTTTGTAATATCTATGTATTGTTTGAAATCGTTTACCATACTGCATTTTTTTTAATCAGTTTTCAAAAGTAGAACAAAACAGGACTGTGTCACATAAGTCACAAAGTATCAGATGGATACATAGAATTGGTTTACACTGTTTTAAGTTTAATAGTAAAAAAAAAAAAGGAGAGAACTATGACAAAGTTAAAACAGAAAACAGAAATGGGGGGGTGGGAGGGGGTGGAGGCTGACTGCTAAGCTGTGCAGACGTGTGCTGAGTGAGCTCCTGCACTGGGTACATTATTATTATCTTTATATATATATATATATATATATATATATATATATATATATATATATATACAAATTACTATGTAATAAAGGTGCTTATCAGTACAGAGAGTATAATCCTTAATAATGCTACAACACTCTAATGGGAGTCCCTCTAACCCACCAAAATGTATGCACATTATTATCTTTATTTACTGCAATCAGACAGACTATTTATACACAAAACCGACTAGATTGTAAAGGGGAATCTTTGGCACTCTGATCGAGACCAAATTTGGTGATATCCTCATCCTGATTGCCTGACTTACCCCTCTGTGGCCTAAGTGCACGGATAGCAGGAGAGAGACGGCCACTCTCTGACGCTAAAACAGACTAGCTCCCTACGACATCTCTGCTTCCCCCCTCCCCTTGGACCGGCACCTTGGAGCGGCGAGGCACACTCGTTACAAAATTTGTGGACCCCAGATTATAGAGATTAGAGTAATTTCTGTGGCACACCTTAGCTTTGTCAGATATAGGATGTCAAATGTTACCTGTTTTATATTTATTTATCGATATAACATTTAATTAACATCTTGTCCAAAGCTCCTTGGCTTTACAACGTTCCACTCGTATTTCCTTGCATATAGTAAGAGTGTTTAGTAAAAATGATTTGTTCTTTTGTCTTTTACCATTAACACGTCTCTCAACTAAGAGAATGCAGCCGCTAGTAACCTATAGTGGTCCAGAGAATGTAAAATCCTATGCTGTGATTGCAAGCTCTGCTATCCTCATCCTACATTGTTTGTTAAGTTGAGAACCTATTTTAATTAAGTACCTCCGAATTGCAGCTTTATGAGTTTACCATGTGGTTATTGGGAGACATCTGAAGTAAAGTTTAAATAAAAATAGTGGCAAATTAGTTGGTTCAGCTGGGTTAAACATTCCTTGCACTGTAACAAGGACTCATTATGTCTCCATTTGCTTTCTTTTTGTGAGAGGGTTATGTTGTGGGGCATGATTTGCCCATGTAATACAAAGTTTTTTTTTCCAGCTATCAGACGAAAAGGGAAGCACTAGAGGATAGCCCTGAAGCACGCCTGGCACCATCATCACTACAGTACACTGCTTGCAGTATTCCTTTAATTCATCTATAGTCTCTTCTTGCAAAAATAAACCCCTTTGTATGTTGGTCCTTTATATTTGCAACTAGCTATGGTTTGTTACAAATGGTTGTTGTAAAACTATCTTTTATATTTATAGCCCTAATGTATCCCAATGGTCACTAGAGGGAATGCCCGCCTGCCAACGTCAAGGCAGACCCCACTAGGCGGGTCCTACTCTGACCCTTCTCCTTGCTTCCTTGAGCTTCTGGCAAAAATATCCCTAATGAGACAGAAAAGCGTATTTTTTATATACACCCCTATATACTTATTAACCCGTAATAGGGAACACATGGGATGGGCGGCCGCCCATAAGTATATAGGGGTGTATATAAAAAATACCCCTTTCTGTCTCATTAGAGATATTTTTTCCAGAAGCTCAAGGAAGCAAGGAGAAGGGTCAGAGTAGGACCCGCCTAGTGGGGTCTGCCTTGACGTTCTCAGACGGGCATTCCCTCCAGTGGCCATTTGAGTAACTAAATGACCTCCATTTGTTTAAATATACATAGGGATTAAGGAGAGAGTGCAGGTAACTTTTTCTTTTCTTTGGTTTTTACTATATGTATTAGCTGATGTGTACTGTGGTCATTGCTGCCGCCCAGGAGTGATGGGAATGAGCGAAGGACTTTTATTTTTGTATTTGTAGCCCTAATGTATGTTTGTTACCTTAGTTTGCTTCTCATGCCAATTAAACGTTTGAATCCCAGACTGCTTACAATCAGATATAATAAAAAAAAGCAAACTTTTTTTCAAGTGTCTTTTGGCATTGAGCACATACAAATAAGTTATTTGTTACATCCATTTTGACAGATTCTTTTTGATGGTTGCTCTAGATAGAAGATTGTATTGATTGCTTCTTCTTTTCTCTGCTGATAGCCCCCATCAGACAGGCAGGCTCCAAACTAATTAGCAGAGCTTTGTTCCTGAAAGCCACTTTCCTCAAAAACTCACCAGGAAGGAGCCTCAGAAATTGTACTTTAAATACAATTACATAAGTGGTTATGACAATGGAAAAATTGGGAAATGTTTCCAACATGTTCTGCATGTCCTATGTAAATAAATACATAAAGATACAGCATGATTATTTTACCTGTGTGGGATTTAATATTGCAGCTTCAACATAATAAAATACTTATTTGTGTAATTACATTTGGACTTTAAAATGCTTGATTCATTTTCTGAAAAAAGAAACAGTCTTTGTTTATTTGAGCTCTATACACTTTTAACAATTTGAAAAATACATCTTGATTCACTTTGGTGTTGAAGCAAAGTTACTCCAAAATCACAATTTACTAACATGTAACTTAGTTGCAATACCAATTAGTAAAGGATTCAGTTGTAGTACATGCATTCCATTAATTATCATAGAAACTGCATTGCCATTTGGTATTCACTGAATTGCTTGGTGTTATAGAGACTCAACCCCCCCCCCCCAAAAAAAAAAACTTATATTAGTAGACATTCTACACATAGTGACACATAGGTAAGCACCATCTATAAAGTTTAATGAACAAGTCTAGAATGAACTCGGACCAATGTTATTGGCTGATTGCAATTTAGACGAGAGTTTGAAACTAGATTATGGTATTTTGCAGTTGAATTAATAAACAGTTAAAGCCACAATGTAGTTTCCTTTAGAACATAGCCATGCTGCTCCAGAAATCTATTTCACTCGTACTAACACGAGTGGTATATTTAAGGATTAACACCTAAATAGTAATTTGATTAACATCCATATTTACGAGCACAAAGCCAATATTTTACAGCTTAGTACCTCTGGCTTTTACCTATTGGTACCCAGTTCATTTGATGTGATTTTTATGTGATGTGGATTTAATATCTGTGACAAACTGCCTTTTGTCACTGGATTGTTATGTGCCAAACTGCCTTTTTCCCCTGACTGTTGGAGGAGCCTGATTGCCAGCCTCCTGCCTCATGACTATGGCCCTGGGTTGTATGGCCTTTTACAAACATCATTTGGGCTTCTTGGATTTTGGGACACTTTTTCTGCCCTTTGAATCCGTGGGAAGGTGTGTCTCTTCCCCTCCCCTGTTTCCTGTCCATTGTTCTCCAGCAGGGAGTTGTCCCAGGGCCACTGCCAGACCAGTTTAAACTAGCTGCTTTGTCCCTCCTCAACATCTCATCAGCTCGTGCTAAACCCCATGGCGATTGGACGTGTTCGTGGGATCTGCGTGCTGTTTACCTATATTGGGCGCTCAGATCCAAGCTATCTGGGGATAGGTTAAATGTTTGGGTTCTGTTCAGTATGATCGGACTGATGTATTTCTGTGTATTTTTGCTGTTGTTGTGAATAGAGATGTTTTCTGTATGCTGGAGATAATTGGCTCATCACACCCAAGGCAAGGCATGCTTGCAGTCGGTCAAATAGGACGTCCATCTATCTTTTGAACCACTGGACCAATTTGTATGATTTTGACACATGTTTGTATTTGGCGTAAGCTGATTCTAAATATGTACGTTTTATGTGAATGTGATGCATACGTTTAAAGTTATGAATATTGTGTAAAACTGTGTATTTTCCTGCCTGTGATAATTATGTTGTGCCCATTGTGTTCAGTAATTATATCACAGGCAGAGGGGAGGATTTAACTGTGGGCATGGGAGTGTTATTTTGTTAATTAGTGTTACCATTGGTTTGTGTCCCTTTTGTCACAGTTTACCATCAGGTCCAGGGGGTGGGCCTCTGGCCTGAAAACCTGTATAAAAGATAGTCCTTTTATGCGCATTAAAGGAGATCATCTTTTACCTTCATGAAGTTTCGGCTCATGTTTGGGGGATTGGACAATTGCCTTCACTCTGGGGAGTGATATATCACAATACTCCCCAGAGCAAGCTCTTGTAAGAGCTTGTTCTTGTTCCTGGTTCCTGCTCTCTGGAGTTAAGAGAGGTCTACCTGCTGGAAGCTGAACCCTTGTCTTGGGTCCAGAGTGGGTGGAAGACAGCGAGACCCCAACTAAGCTGCGGCAGTTCGTGGGAGTTTACAGTGGTTATGGTTTCTGGCGGAGTGCTTGGAGTTCTCAGGAAGCACTAGGAGCATCCATCAATGGAGGTACCCAGTCGCGGTTCCAGACGATCCGTTACAGTACCCATGAGAGAAATCTCCTGTTCCTTTTTCAGCTGACCTGACCCCAGTCTGGGCCACGCTTTCCCCCCATTTGGACCAGAGGGGTTATCCTGGTCCCCACTGGACCCGATCACTATAGATCTTCAGTGTGTTGATAGTTGCTCAACTACCCTCTTGAAGCAAGGCCGAATTGAGTAAGAAGGCTGCCACACATGCTACTACAACATTGGTGCCCAAAAGCACTATCCAGAATGGCCTCCTGCCTCACACAATAGCTAGCCTGGAGACTGTTTTCAATTCTGTAATTTGCTGAAGAAATGCTAGGCAGAAATAGATTCTCCGACTACAAAGGGAGATTTAAGGTGCTTCTGCGGAAGCTTGGGGAGACTCCCTCAGGGCACAACAGCTCTTTTGGCTAGAACCCATATACCCACGTGGGCTCAGGGATGGATCCCACAGCACCACCCATGAAAGTGGAAAGTTCCCAAAATCCACAGAAGATGTCTCAATCGATAGTACTCCATGGCCTCCGGCAGTTCCCTACAATGGAAGGACCTGGACAATGCAAGTCTCCAAATTAACGGTCAAGTGGTGTTGGGTTCTGGGCAGACTTGGGCTGGAGGGATTCCTTACCTTGGTGCTGCTCTGCTGATCTCCTAATAGCACAGATACTGCCTTTCTGTTGTGGCCAGCTCATGGGGACAGTGACTCCTAGCTGATACCATGATGCTCATTTAATACCTATTCTCCAATTGCCTACCAGTGACATGGATACTAATTTGACTTAGAATTTTTTATAGCTTAGGCAGTTAACATATTCTACTATTCTTCCCCTCTTTTTAAGCAATGTTAAGGCATCATTATTAACTTATAAGCTTAGTATTCATATATTACACATACCTGCATGCCTAGCCTTTGTTGTTTACTTGTGTTATAAAAGAAGCTCCAACCAAACAGCACTTGTCACCCTGTTCATAGTGCTAGGATTTCTGTTTATTTTTCTCTTGTGGCTGGTTCCCAGTGGTAACAAAGCAATTCTGTTCTTATTGTTAGTTTAGCATGTTTTATTATTATTTTTTATAGTTTATTTCCTTTGTGTCTAGGAAGTTTTATCTGTCCACAAGCGTAGTATTTGTTCGCTGCCTAGACATATATGCCAAGCCTGATTGTATTATTTTAACAATTTGTGCAGTAGTGTTTAAATGCCTTACAATATTCTGTCATGTACCTTGAAATACTTGCTTTTGTGGTTGGGACATAGCAAGCATGATGCTTTATGCACAGCAAAAAAAAATATTAACTATTACTTACACAATGTAAAGGATTGTGCAAGCAGCATTGAACTTGCATGCAACCACTCATCAATCGTAACCCTATCTAGACGGGAATGTTCTAGGTGGGGTCTTCCTAAAGCAGGGTGTAAAGATAGGGTTAAGTGCAAAACTAGACTACATGACGTCCTTGCAAATTACATCGTTACATGGTTAGTTACATAGACTGAAAAAAACCATATGTCCATCAAGTTGAGCCTTCCATATGTTTTTTGCTGTTGATCAAAAAGATGGCAAAAAAACAGTTTGAAGTACTTCCAATTTTGCAACAAAGTAGAAAAAAAATTCCTTCTGGACCCCAGAATGGCAGTCAAATTTAACCTTGGATCAAGAAGCTATTACCCTACAGTTGAAAGATTATATAATTGAATATTCTGTTTTTGCAAGTATGCATCTATTTGCTGTTTAGACATCTGTACAGACTCCGATTAAACCACATCTTCAGGAAGAGAATTCCACACCCTTATTGTTGTTATGTTTAAAAAAAAAAAAAAAAAAATCTTTCCTTTGCCTTAGACCAGTGTTTCCCAAACCAGTCCTCAAGACCCACCAAGAGTCCTGGTTTTGTTAGTATCTCCATTTGAACAAAACAGGGGAATACATAAATCCTGGACTGTTGGTGGGCCATGAGGACTGGTTTGGGAACCACTGCCTTAGAATAAGGTGTTGGTTTATGACAGAATTAAAAAAAAAAAAATGTAATTCTTTATTTTTGAGGTGCATCATGTTCAAGTATGCGAGAATGTATACAGAAAAAGAAATTGGCATAAACAGTACATGCATATTCAAGCAATGAAATGTAAGAGCATCCATTTTTTTGGGGAACAAAATTGTGCATAACAGGGGGCAACAGAACAGTACATTGTCATAACTGTTTCCAGTATTGTTAGCATTCAGTGGTCTATTGACCCTGTGGGGAGGGAAAAGCAATATATGCAGCATTACAGTTGCTGGACATCATATTTAATTTTAAGGTCAAGCTTATGACATTCAGTGAGTTATCGGTGCACAACACGCTAGATTGGTGAAACCATAAGATTGGGTAGCCTGTAAAAGGCATCCCTAGCATTGTAAGAGATCCTCCAGGTGTTCGTTTTAGGTAATGTGCACCTATTGAGGGGGGGGGGGAACCCCTAACCAAGTGGTCTTTGAGGGGTTGTGGTTTGGTAGCAAACTAGACACCATGAAACTTCAAGCTGGAAACAGAACGTATATAATATAGCAAGCCTTGGGTGTGAAGTTCACCCACATGTCAGCAAAACAGAAAATTGGTCGCTATAGGAGCCAGCAAGTCCAGGCTGGTCAGGAAGCTGAAGGCGTCAGACATTGTGGTTAGAACATGTTTAGTCCCTGCGTGAGATCTGGCTGCCCCCCATCTGTAGGCCATCCCTGCTGTGTGCAGTTGTGTAGTGACTGGGATAAAATATTTATGCCAAAAAAAAGTTCTTTGCGTTACGTTTTACCTTTCAGTGCTGCCAAGACGTGTATCTTGCATTGTATTGATATGCATCGTAGGATCAGATCTCGGGTGATCGCGGGTTGGAGGTGAGTATAACTTGGCAGGCGGTACACAACATCAATAGCTAGCTTTTTCGCTATTGCATGGGGTAAGACAGTGGCCAGGAGGCGTCTGACATAGTGTGGTAGCTCCTCTGCGGATATATCAGGAAGGATTCCTCATGCCAGTAAGTTCAGTATTCTATTTATATAGACAACCTGCCCTTTCTATTATATATTGGGAGAACTGAAAGACAATTTGTCACTTCTAGCTTTTATTATTATTATTTATAAAGCGCCAACAAATTCCAAAGAGCTGTACAATGGGTGGACTAACAGACACATGTTTGTAACCAGACGAGTTGGACACACAGGAACAGAAGGATTGAGGGCCCTGACCAATGAGCTTACATGCTAGAGGGAGTAGGGTATAGTGACACAAAAGGTAAGGGTATGGGGGGGCGGAGCCTGACTGCTGAGCAGGACAGACGTGCTGCAAACCAGCTCCTGCAAAAAACGACAACAATGGGGAAAAATACCCCAAACACAAAATCACCCACAAGTCAGAGGGCATGGGACGAGCTGGGGAAACCCAGGGGCATCGAAGGAACCCACAAACGAGACTCACACTGCCCGGGATCCCACGCAAAGCACATGGGGCCTACATGCGGCCGAGCCAGGGAGAGACGGCCGCTCTTCTGGATGGTAAAACCGCACACACACCCCTCAGTGCACCAGCCTTCCCCCTCCCCCCCCCCGGCCGGCGGGGGTCATCCCGGCCCGCACTCGACATCCACAATCACCAGCAGAGACAGCAGTACAAGCCTGACCCTGACAAGCAAGGCTACAACCTCCTACAAGGCGCACCTAAAATGGCGGCCGGCAGCGGGATATGCAGGATGACCATGCGACCGACACAACCGCGCTGGAGAGACCCACTGCAAAGCTTAGAGGTGATACTGACCCACTTCTGGGATATCCACACACAGCGGCAACAACCAACGGGGGAAGGGACCTCGCAGCGCCCTGGACCCACATGCCAATCCCTCAGAGCCGGCGTCGGCTGACCAAGACGGCATGACCAAGAGACAGTCTGTGCCCCTCTGCACGATCCCACCGCACAGTATGTCTCGCACGGAGCTCAGAACTGGCCCTAACATCTCACAGCAGAGACTATGGAATCAAGTTCTACTGGTCTTCTAACCATGTTCTCCTAACACCAGGAAATGCAGAGGGCTTGCTTCTCCCAAAATACTTTCTAAAAGTCCTGCAGCTCAGACCTCAAAGGCAACTTCTTCCCCTCAAATGATATATGACGAAATGCACTTTCTAAAAATCAGTCGGCAGAGTGAATGCATTAAACCAGGTGTTATTTAATTTGATAAAAAGCCAAAATAATAAAAAAAAAAAAAAAAGGTAAGGGTATGGTAGAAAGGTAGGTTAGTATTCATTGAGGGTTTAGTGTTTTATTTTAAAGACAGTTGCAGGAGAGGACTCAGGGTGCGGAGAGAGAAAGCTGTTGACCGTTACATTCAGGGCCGGATTAACATAGGGGCTGATGGAGCTGCAGCTCCAGGCCCATGCCTCTGGAATAGGCCCATTGATTTAAAAAAAATATATATATTTTTTTTTTTAAATCACATTTTTTTTTTTACTATTCTTCACATGCTCTTGCTGAAGTATAGAATCTTAAGAGATATGTAGGTGAACCAGGGCCGGCGCTACCTGTTAGGCGGACTAGGCAGCCGCCTAGGGCGCCCATTGGGAAGGGGCACCGCCAGGAGTGCCGGCCCCCCTCATGCTGCAGCCGCACGAGCGCTCTGTAGTGAGACTCAGGCAGCTGCAGCTTTGCCCGGGCGGTGCGTCCATGAGGGCGCACTGCCTGGGCGCAGCCTGAGGAGAGGGGCTGACAGGAGGGAAGCGCTCAGCGCTCCCTCCTGTCACTCCCTCACTGTAGCGTGGCCGAGCCCTCTATTGGTCCGCTGGTACAGGGAGCATCTGTCTCCTGTACCCGGCCGGACTAACAGGAAGTGCACACTAAGTGTGCACTTCCTGTTAGTCCGGCCGGGTACAGGAAACAAAAGCTACCTGTACCCGCGGACCAATAGAGGGCTCAGCCACTCTACAACAATGGTAGGGAGGGGGGGAATTGACAGGGAAGGGGGGGTGGAATTGACAGGGAAGGGGAATCTGACAGGAGGAGGGAATTGGGCAGGGAAGGGTGGGTGGAATTGATTGCGAGAAGGGGGGGAATCTGATCAGCAGGAAATTGACAGGAAGGGGAATTGACAGGAAAGGGGGGGAATTGACAGGAAGGGGATTGACTGGGAAGGGGAATTGACAGGGAAGGGGAAATTGACAGATAAGGGGGAACAAATTGACAGGGAGGGTGGGGAATGTTCGAAAGGGAGGGTGGTAAGGGAATAAATTGAAAGGGGGGATACACTGAAATGGAGGGCAGGGAACAAAGTGAAAGGGCTGGTGGGGAGATAAATTGACATGGAGGGGGGATAAATTGACAGGGAGGGTGGGGAATAAATTGAAAGGGGGGAATAACTTGACAGGGGGGGATAAATTGAAAGGGAGGGTGGGGGGAATAAATTGACAGGGAGGGGGGAATAAATTGAAAGGGAGGGAATAAATTGAAAGGGAGGGGAAAGAAATTAACGGGGTGGGTGGAAAGAAATTGACAGGGAGGGGAATTGATGGGGGAGGGAGGGAGGGGGAATGAGAGTGGGGAGGGGAGAAGAGAAGAGAGTGACAACGGGGGAGAAGAGAGGGACAAGCAGGGGAGAAGAGAGTGACAAGGGGGGGGGAAGAAGAGAGTGACAAGGGAGGGAGAGGGGGGAGAAGAGATTGACATCCATCACACACACACACAATGCACCCCTTACACACAAAGACAATGCACCCCTTGCACACAGAAAAACAAACAATGCATTACACACACAGACACACACACAAGCAATTCAACCCTTACACACAATGCATCCCTTACACACACAGAAACACAAAATGCATTCCTTACACACACTCAACGCATCCCTTACACACACTCAATGCACCCCTTACAGACGCACACACTGCATCCCGTACATACACAGAAACACACCTTGCAGCCCTTACACATACAAACACAGATTCACACAATGCATTCCTTACACACATATCAGGACACCCCCCTACTCCACCCCCTGTGAACAAACTCATTGGTGGAACATGAAGGTGGACCCTGGGACCCAAACCTTGAGCTGTGTAAAGGGCCTTAAAAAAATGGAGCTGCTTCCCGTTCTCCCAGAACAGTGATTTTTGTGACCACAGTTACAAACAGCCTCCAGAGAGCCTGTTCTACACCAGACCAGTGGAGCCAGACTGCAGCTAGAGCCCATCATCATCCTCATCTGGTTGTAAGTAGGCAATCTAGTAGACTATTCGTGGCACTAATCTCTAGTCCCCAGAACCACTTCAGCTTAATGTGCAGCACTGGCGTTAGTTAACATGGCAGATCATATGGGTGGGGCATTGTGATGTCACTGGGGGTGGCAAACTTTACTTTTGCCTAGGGCGGCAAAAATCCTTGCACCGGCCCTGAGGTGAACTAAACTGGTGTGGATTGGCTGACAATGAAATTAGTTAAGGTAAAGTTCTCTAACACTGTGGCATGTTCCCTTTCTTCTACACTCGCTCTATACACTTTTTCTCTGTCCCAGCCTGTATAACAGGAGCTTCTGCCTGCTAGTAATAAGGTAATAAGGAGCGGACCAGTGAGTGCTTAGAAAGCGTAGAGCTAGCGCATCATGCTTTGGGTGCTGTCTGAACAGTATGCCCTTCATAAGTCATCCTGCATTATTGGCAGGCAGCCTGATATGCATTCACGCCAGGCTGACCATCTAATTCTTTGTGCAGATGCACCCTTTTTTTAGGAATGTTTGTCCCTTTGTGCAGTTCAGATTATCCACCCTTTTACCCTGCCCACCGAAATCCTTCTTCACCAGGCACTGCTATTAGGGGTATGGATTTACTTGAAAGATGAAAGTGAGAGATTAGCATAGGGTATGTGTTTTCTGATAGCTATATCCTGTGAGTTTTTACACCAGCACTACCTCCACTAGATACACTTGGGAGGCATAACTTTATTTATAACTTTATGTAGGTTTAGTGTTTTCTTTCGATAAGATTCTGTAATTAGGCCCATCATAATTGTCAGCACCAGGCCCACTGGGCTTTTAATCTGGCTCTGGTTACATTGATATGCTTTCCTGAAGAAGTAAGTTTTCAAAGATTTTTTAAAGAAGTGGAGACTGGGTGAAAGTCTAACAGAGGGAAGTGCAGCCCTAGAGAAGGCTTTAAGGTAAACATCAGCGGTAGGAATACGAACAGAGGTTGGACGTAGGTCTCCGGCAGAGCGTAGGGGCTTAGATGGAACAAATCTGTAAATTAGTGAGGAGCAGCATCGTGTATAGACTTGTAAGCAAGTATCAGGAACGTAAATTGAGTCCTATTAATTATGGGAAGCCAATGTAGGGACTTGACAGAGGGGGAAGCGTGGGAGGTGCGGGCGGACAGGAAGATGAGCTTCGCCACCGTATTCCTTATAGACTGTAACAGGGCAAGTTGGGAGCATGTAAGACCACTGAGAAGTGAATTACAGTAAGGTATAATATTGAAAAAAAAATCTGTTCAATTAGCAGCAATAGGTGATGGTACATTTTGTGAATTCTATTTAGAAAGGACTGTCTTGGTTTGCACCAAATTATTTAAACAAATCCTTTTCTTAAACACTATATACTGGGTCTGACAGGGACTGGGTAAGGAGGGGTAAGTGTTATAAGGCGGAGGGAGCCAGCAAAAGAAAAAGGGGGGGAGGGGGAGAAGAAACCAAGCAAGAGTCATAGGAGTAGGTGGAGTAAGAGAAGGGTTGGGGGGAAGGAACATAAATGGGGTGAGTGAATGATACATCTTGAGATTTTGCCTTTTAACTGAAGGCAGCAATGTGAATTCTTTTTGTATGACTCACCTAACAGCATTACCTAGACAGGCCAATTAATGACTAAAAGAGAGATACTAAAAACATTTTATTTAAATGTGTGTAGGGTTTGGGATAGATTAATTTATTTTTTTGTTGTTCTATGTGATTTAGCTGATGAATTCTGTAGCAATTGCTGTTGCCTAGGAGTAGTGGGCGTTTGAGCACAGGGCTTCATTTTGTGTGTTTGCATTTGCTTTTATATTACATAGTCATGTTACAGTGTTGCTGCCCGCCCCCTATGTGCTCCATTAAGGATTAATAAGTGTGTAAGGGTTCATAAAATAGTCCTTTCTGTCTCATAAGTTTGCCTTTTAGTTGAAAGCAGCAAGGTGAAAAGTATAGAACCCACCTAATAGTTTTACCTTGATGGAGCAGGTAAGCTTTCACTTAATTGGCCATTGATGTTATACTAAAAATCTAATTTTATTAAGATATGCATAAGGCTTTAGAATAGTGTGCAAATAACCTTTTTGGTAGTATTATGTAAATTCAGTAGAACCCATATTATTTGAATTACAATTTAATATATTAACATTTGTAGAGAACATTACATATTGAACTATTTCTGTGCAGAATTAAGATCGGTAAGCTAAAGATTGCAACAAGTTTAATAATGTTGTTTCTTCACCTGTCCAGTCCTTGAGGGTCTTAAGATAGATCATAATGTTGTCTTTCCATCTTTTTGTGAAAATTCATGTTTCATAACATGGTTCATTAACATTTTAAAATCTTATTTTACATAATAACATAACATTTAAAATGTATTAATTCGGATTTTTGGACCTCAAACCTTTAAATATGCAGGAGAAATGTAAATGAACTGCATAAATCAATATGATGCTGTTTGTGTCTAGAGCAAATGTCTTGCAAAATACTGTTTCAAGCTATTTACATGATTTGCAGAATGAAAATGTATAAAAAGTGTTCCAATGAGATAAAAAAAATATAAAAGAAAAATGTGTATAGAGAAGTCACAAAACATTAACTTAACAGCAGGAAATAGAAGACGTAATCTACTGCTGTTTCAGCTATCATGCCATAGAAAGTTGCTACTATTCTAAATATAGGAATATAAAATGTTATCAGATATTTGTAAAAGTTTCAAGGAAGTTGGAATCTCTTAGATCCAATGGAACATTTTATAAAACAAAATAAATCTTTATAAATGTGTTACATGTACACATACTTGTCTGCTTATACATGTGTCTAGATCTCAAAAGATTATTGAATGGAATGAACTTTTCTTGGGAAAGAACACAAAAGTGAAATATTGGTAAACTATCACAATTGCCACTTACCCTGGATAAATAAATAAGACAAGAACAAGACTGTTCTTTTGTCGCTTCCTGGTCATATCTGCTCATCCATGTATATAGTG